GGCAGATGATCACCAGTGGTTGTCCATCAACTGGACTGCACTAAATGACCACGTGCTTATTCCCAGCCTGTGAGTGGTGCCAATATGCCTCAATTTAAAGCAGATACAAGAGGCTAGGAAAATGTATGCAAACATGTCGAACAGCAGCTTTTAAAGTGGTAATTGGTTCAATTTCTGATCATCCAACTCCACAGTTACAATCTTTTTAAAGTGGTCATGTCACCACAGCTGCAACCTGCCCTCTAGATAATAGCTCCTTATTACAGAGCACTCACACATAAAATGAATTATCACTATCTGCTTCCCTCATTCTCCCAAGGGATGCTAACCATGTCAAATAGAAATGCTCTGCTTAAAGGGATAAAAATGGGAATCAGAAAAAGATTTTGCATGTGTTAGAAAGCACAGAACTCCTAAAGATGGTATAATCCCTTACTATATGGAAATAGGAGCTTGTTCAGAAAACATATTTCTATCTTTGGATGTAAATCAAAATGATATACATAATAAGACTGATGTAAAATTTTTTTGCTCAGTAATACTGAAAAAAATTCACTGCATTTAATAGGTATGAACGTTTTAAAATCAGCACATTTTAAAATTTGAAAAACTTCTAAACCCTCCTCCTCCACACCCCCAATCTCCCCTTCTAGTTTGTTGACTCTGCATCCCACTCTGAGGCACTGAGATATAACATGAGCCTTAGGTTCCTCACCCAGACCTAGATCCTTGGCAGTTTGGGGTCAGAACTGCATGGCAGTCAGATACCTTGGCAGCCTGACTCTGTGTTGGCTACAGAGGTGAATCTGCAAAACATGTCCTCCTCCTAAGCATCCCTACTATTAGTACTTTCCACACAGCTAATACAGGATAACTTACATTATGTTAACATCAGTTCCAAATGTGATCTTTAAAGTAAAACCTTGGCTTCGGGGAGCACATTTTAGTTTTCATTTTTATTAGGTTGACAGAAAAATAATGGAGCAGGCAGTTGTGTTTCAAAACTCTGATATTAATCCTATTTACTTAATCATGGGTCTTTTGATCTGTCATATTTCAATCATATTTAAATTTTCATACTGAGAGTAAACATCAAAACAAAATGGAGCACAGCATCTAGTTAGTAATTGGATATTACACCCTCCAAAGTCAAAGTTCTGCATAAAATACACCAAAGAACCACAGAAGTTAGTTACAAAATAAATCTTATCAATCAGTTAGCAACGCCCCAATGGCAGCTCCCACTCAGACCTCAAGTCACTTGCAAGATGGAAGCAGCAGACAGTAAATGAAACAGCTTGGCTTTGAAAGCACCTCAGCTGGCAAAGCACTGAGCGCTGCAGACCCTGCGCTGAAATGCCTGTTGGAGGGATCCCAATGAACCACCTCAGACCAAGCTGCCTGCAGCTTTGGAATGTGTTAACTTGTGGAACAGCCAGAGTAAGTAGCAGTACTTAGCTTCTACCTCTAATTTGGAGGGAAAATCTTCACTAGTAAAAATTTTGAAGCCTATTCTTGGGTAAGGTCAAAGGTGAAAATTAAGTAATCACATTTAAATCAAAAGTTGTTGTTCATTAAGACTTTGCTTCAGTTAATAAATGTTCAACTATTTTTTTTCCTTAGTCCTATTCTACATTTTTCTCTTTTTTTCTTACTATGTTTTCTAGGTTTTTATTTTAAAATTCAGTCTCATGAAAACTTATGGATAAGGTATAAAAATGTTATTACATTTTACTGACACAATGTTATTTCTGAGGGCAATATTTCACATAAACGTCACAAAATTCATAAGCAGTATGAGAACTCATTTGAATAGTTTATTACATCCTTGATTTGGTATAAATAAAACTGATACATTTTACTGTTTTCATCCCTGTCATGCAATTCCAATATTCATTGCTGCAATAAATTAGGTCTTATAAACAATGAAACATCATAAAACAAATTCAAGAGATGCTGTAAATAGGGAACAAAAAGGAAATTATCTAGTGCAATCTTTTTGAGTGCAAACCCCTTGTAACATGTTGCAACCGGCCAGTTAATAATTGCTTTGTAAATTTGAAATGAAGCAGAGGGGATAAAACTAACAAACAAGTCATAAAGTACAATTGTTACTTGTTTGGAATGATTATGATTCCCCGGAGGGAAGAGGGGCACAAGAAAGCTGGTTAATGTTCAAGGATGGTTATCTCCAAGCTCAGGAGTGATGCATCATAATGAAGAGGAAGTCAGGCAAAAACGACAGGAGGCTCACACAAATGAACAAGATGTTCCTGGACGAACTCAAACACAAAAAGGAAGCCAACAGAGGGTGAATGCAAGAACAGGCAGCCTGGGAGGAATACAGAGAGATTGTCCAAGCAACCAGGGACCAGGTTAGGAAACCTAAAGCCTTGACAGAATTAAAACTGGACAGGGATGGCAAGGGCAACAGGAAAAGTACATCAGTGGTAAATGAAAGACTAGGGAAAATGTGGGCCCTCTCCAGAAGGAAACAGGAGACCTGGTTACACCAGAAATGAAGAAGGCTGAGGTAATTAATGACTTCTTTGTCTTGGTTTTCACCAACAAGTGTTCCAGCCACACAGCCCAGGTCGCACAAGGCAAAGGCAGGGACTGGGAAAATGAAGAACCACCGACTGTACGAGAAGATCAGGTTTGAGAACATCTAAGAAACCTGAAGGTGTGCAAGTCCATGGGACCTGATGGGATGCATCTGCTCATTCTGAGGGAACTGGCTGAGGAAGTGGCTAAGCCACTATCCATCATCGTATCTGAGAAGTCATGGCAGTCCATTGAAGTTCCCACTGACCGGAAAAATAACCCTCATTTTTAAAAAGATAAATAAGAAAGACACGGGGAACTAGAGCTCTCTTACTCTCACCTCAGGTCCTGGCAAGACCATGGAGAAGATCATCTTGGAAACTTTGCTAAGGCACATGGAAAATAGGGAGGTGAATGGTGACAGCTTCACTAAGAGCAAATCATGTCTGACAAATGTGGCGGCCTTCTAAGACAGGGTCTATTATTGCTACTGTCAACCATGTTCAAAATCTCGTAATAAAGAACTAGTTTTTATATTTCCTCCAGTGTAGCTCTTATACTTGTGCTGGAAAATTCCTATAATCCTTATGAGTAAATAATGTGTCACACAAAATATATGCTGAATATTTACAACAAATTTCAATATTACTCTCAACACCCACTGGTCTCTCTTGCTTATTCAGCCAGAACAGAATTTCTCAGGTTGTACAGAATATATAATGGATGTTAAAAATCCAGGTGCCACAAGGAAAGGGTGCCATCATCATTGTGTCATGCTAGAATGCAAGAGCTCTCTTCCAGAATGAAAAGGACATAAAAAGATAACTTTAAACAAGAACCCTGTTGCAGTTTGACAAAATCACAAACAATTGGAAATAGAGTTATCCAAAGGACAAAGACTGGCAAATTTTATAATTGGCCCTGTTACCATTTTTAGCTAATACACTCCCGAATTTTCAGGAACATATTACTTAATGATAAATTTTCTGTCAGTGTAATGGCTTGGAAGATCTTCACCATTAATGTGCAGCCAAAATGTCATTCCACAGTATGCTGCCACATTACAACATTGACCTAATTTGTCCCCCATATTGTATGTTCATCATAAAATCAGAAATCATGAAAAAAAGGTACTTTCTTGTCTCACAGGTATTTCAAAGAATTTTAAATAGTATTTTATTACTAGTGTTCCCAAACTAGAAGCATATTAAGGGGATGAAAAAGGAGATTTAGAAAGATAGATTTAACTTGTTTAAAACTTGTAGCTCATTTCTGGGCACTCACTTGGTGTCAATAAACTTTTTTATTTAAAACAAATATCCAGGTGTTTATTTTTAACAATCTTAAGTTACATAGCTTGTATTCTTAAAAAAATTTATTTGCTCCAAAAAATTTGAACATTTTATATACTCTACATCAATATTTCACTCATAATGTATTCTCCTTTTCCTCCACCATGAAGCCCACACCAAATAAAGCGTTAAAATTCTTCCAGGCAAATATGCACATGCCTCACATGAACATCTCTTACCTTGGTTTCATATGACTCATAACAAAAAGGCACTAATCAAATCCTTCCGTTATTATCAAGAGACACGAACAGTTATCGCCTTTCATTTTTTAATCACAAATAGAAACAAGCTGTCATCATATTCTTTTTAAGGAATATAAGTTCTGGACATTTTTAGAACACTAAGAACTCTCAGGTGATGCTAAGACCTCAGATGACAACTCATGTAACTCTAGTAGTACTTAATATCTAGTATACAAAGGCTTCAATTCTAGGACAAATTTAAGTATGAAAATATCATGAAGTAACTGTATAAATGTGGAAAATATATTTCAGAGAATTTGAGGAAAATCAATAGACAAAAAGATAAATATTTCAGAAAGTTATATACTTAGCATAAATCAAATTGAAAAGGTTCCCAGCTTTAGAGTATGTTTCTGTGCTCTCCTGGCTGATGGAGGAGATGCTAAACTGTGGTCTGAGTCATAAGTTGTCTGAACAGAAATGTCTTAGGAACGTTTTGGTCATGCTGTTTGCTCCACAAGAAATTCATTAACTTCATTAGCAAGATATTTAGATAAATTGTTACATGTATTAAAATGTTTTTACAGACTTAAATACTCAAAAATCTTGAAAGTGTACTCTCATACTAATGACTACTGACTGCCATCAGAAAAAAAAGTAATCTACTACTCCCTCCAGAAATCAAGTAAGGAAAACAAGAAACATTGACAAATGGAAATAATAAAACATCTAGAAAATATATTAGGGCATCAGCTGTGACAGTTAATGGCCTGTTTGGCAACTCCTTGAGAAATGAGAGAGAATAAAGGACGGAAGTTCAACAGAACTTTTCTTTTTCTTGATCTAAAGGTGCTTAAAAAAGTCACAAATTCAATGCAACAAAACCATAACCAGTCACAGAAAAATGTTACAAGTCACTTACAGGAACCAGGAATTTTTTTATTTCTTCCAAGGCATGACTCATACGAGAATACGCCTCCCCAGGCGGAGCAAAAACTTCAATTAATACGTGGAGCTCATCACTCAAGTGCGCGTATTTGGCTTCTCCACTTTTCCTTAGTTCTTCCTCCTACAAAAAAAGGGTAGGTTTGGTTTTTAGAACTGAAAATGTACTAATTTTGCAGTGATTTAAAATTTACAGAGAATATGACAGAAGGACATAATATAAGCTATCTTTTAAACCCTTCAAGAAATAAAAGCCTAGTACAAGCCACTTAAAGATTTAAAAATCAATTTTGAGCATTTGAATGATAAAACCAGCATAATTATCATCTACAACAGATTTTAATCAGCACAGTGAAAAAATGCTAAATACTCCAAAAGCAAGTAGCGACATATTAAATCCATAATTGAAAGCTGCATTCATCTATCTGAATCTCAGCTCTTAACAAAAAATAAAAAATAAAGATCCATTTAACCATTTTGGAACACTTTAACAAATGCGATGGTTTAGTAATGTCTTTAGGTTCTTTAATGCATTTCTGCAGCCTGTACATTTCAGTATCGCGAAAGGAAAATATGCCCTAGTACTTCTATTTGAGACACAGAATCACAGGATGGTTTGGGTGTGAAGGGACCTTAAAGACCAACTGGTTCCAGCCTCCCTGTCATGGACACTGACACCTTCCACTAGACCAGGCTGCTCAGGGCCCCATCCAACCTTGAATACTTCCAGGGATGGGGCATCGGTAACTTCTCTGAGAAATCTGTTCCAGTGTCTCACCATCCTGATAGTGAAGAACCTTTTCCTAATATCTAATCTAAACCTACTCTCAGTTTAAAGCCACTATTCCTTGTCCCTTCATAAATGCCCTTGTAAAAAGTCTCTCTCCAGCTTTCTTGTAGCCTCCTTCAGGTACCAGAATGCTGACCTAAGTTTATCCTGAGCCTTCTCCAGGCTGAACAACCCAAATTCTCTTCATAGCAGAGGCCTCCAGTACTGATCATCTTTGAGGTCCTCCTTTGGACTTACTCCAACAGGTCCATGTGCTTCTTATATTGGGGTCCCCAGAGGTGCACTCAGTACTCAGTGATGTCTGAGTTTCAGTTCCAGTTCTGATACAGAGTAGTTATGCAACCCAGTGTGCATCAGTTAAGATGGTGAATCACCTCACCTAGATTTATCTCAACCATCTTTGGGTCCCAGGGTCCCAGTTTTCCAGATATAAAACAAGCCTAATAATCCTACTTCATGTTAGAGTAATGTTCTGAAACATCAATCCACTTTCTTACACAAAGCTTTGAGACAGCAAATGCAAATTGCAATACACACGCATGGTAGTAACCACTTCATAAAAAGCAAAGATATAAAATAGTGATCATGTTAATGGCACTGGCTATGACAACATAATGAAACATTTATGCCATTACTACACAAGATAGCCATAAGTAATGCTAAAGATATGATGAGTTGAAATCTCAGTCTTCAAAAATATTTTGAGAAATGCAATTTAGAAGAAAATATGTACATATAGAAAACATAATCACAGAAAAAGAAGTAAAATAATTTACTTGAAATTGATGAAGTTACAGCTTTTTAGTACATACTAAAATAATAGTTTATGAACACTTAGCTAAAATATAAAAATTGTAACAACAGATTACAATTCTTACTGACTTAAGTCTATTTAATTCTCCATTAACTTCACTTAGTTTAGCCTTGACTACTTTACACCATTTCTTGACACCAAAAATATTTGCATGATGCTATGCTCCTAACAATAGGCATATAGTTCTTTTTATCCACTGTAGAAGATCCAGCACCAATGATTTTTTGATTTTTCACAGAATACACAAGGATAAAATTCCTTTAATGAATTTCTGCAGCTCTACATTTTAGCTCCAGAGTCCTAGACCTGACTCCAGGTTAAGTCAACATTTTGCAGATGATGATAAAATCATAACTCAATAAATGTGATCTATGATTTTATTTTTAAAAGTTGAAAATGGACATAATTTTTTTCAACTGAAACTTAAAAATTTAAGATAAGCAGCACAGATGGCAGAGTATTTTTATTTTTACAGTTAAAGTATTTTTGGCATTTTAGCTTATTATTGAAAAGTCCATAAGAACCATAGCATAATATAAAAGTCCATCATGATATGTTACAATACTTTTCAGTTTTCTGGGAAAAAATCCCCACACATTTGATTGCTGCTTTCCAAATAATATGACATAAAGTATTTCAAAAGAATTAAGTTTTAGTAGTTATAAAGCGACATCCTAGAAATTGCTGGATTTTTCTTTCATTGTTTTTTAAAATTCTGGGAAAAAAACCAAAACACCAGGAAGCCCCAAAAGCTGTCTTTCAGAGGAAGACTGCCAATAAACTTTGTAAAAATATATATTGGAACTTTTATCAAATGTAGAAAAAATAAAAAATAATGTTTGGCTCACTATTTTGATTAGGATTTTGCACAGCTAAGACATCAATAACACAATTTGATAACACAGACCTGTCTTACAGAAAGTTAGGTATATGCTTCTACAGTGGTAACAATAGGTATCATGTTTCTCTTTTATTTCCTCAAAAAACCCCAGGAATTCTTAAAATACATCATTTTATAACCTGCCTCCTTGGATCAGCACATGCTTTCTGTCACTATTTGGCAGTCATTTCTGTAGGAAACGACTGCTTCTATTTAGGATGAAAGTACTGCCCCTTCTCTAGCATTGCAGTTGGTTTTGCTTCCTGCTCGTTGTAGCCTTGTTGCACAAACTAAGTTCGCATTAGAAGCCACAGAGCCTTCCTGGAGCTCAGCTTTGGTTTAGTTTCCTAGGAGAGGAGTCCTATAAACTCTGCTCACTATAAGTAATGGGAATTGGGAACGATCAGGAGACTCTCCTCTAAACTGTGCTTCTGAGTTAAACTAAACCACTAACGAATAAACACCCCATGTAGCACTGGTAAGGACTGAGATGGGTTATGAGACTTTCTAGCACATGGTACATTAAGGCAGAATAGGTGAGATCATCATAAATCTATTTTATATGTGTTCTTTACAAGGCTATCTGAATGTTGATGGCCTTGCAAGGCCCTGACGGTCTCTAAGGCACCAGTGCAGGACTTTGGATGTTTCTCACATAATTTCGCTTTAACCACCTGTGAGGTCCAGGTATTCTCAGTGGTGCTGTCTGTAAGTTTTGTCAGATTCTCATAGCTTTTAATGTTCCATGATTCCCCACATCATGTCCAGCAGTTTTCTAGACTCTGTTCAGCTTGCACAGCCTTGGCCAGGGCTACCCAGCAGCCAAGTTGTTTGCCCACAGCCCAAGTACAGATATTATAACTGCTTAAGCCTACTCATGTAGACATGAACCAAATCACAGTGAAGGGTGACTTGTATTGAAAGACTGATGGATTCACTGTAGAGAACAACCCTGAAAACAATGAAAATGCAGTTAAGTCTTAGGCACTGGATCTTAAGGTAGAAAAAACAAACCTGGGACCTAATCAGTTCTGATTTATAAAATGAATGGAATAAATTTCCTGGGATTCTCTATCAGTGATGGCAATTGCTCTTAGTACTCACTCTCAGGTTAACAGTATGGTTCTTATTTAGTTCTTAGTGATGAAGTTTAACTTCACTACAGGTTGAGCACATCACCCTCCAGAGACAACTGCCCCTTCATCCTGATCCTCTTCCGCTTCCTTCTGCATGCCAATTCCCTTCATTTCTCAAGACTGAAAGAACCCAGCTCCACCCACATTATTTGCTTCAGGCTTCTTTCACCCTTACTTGCTGCCTTACAGCATGTCTGTCACATGGTGTTCAAGTCCATCCACCTGATGCATGGCTCCACAACCCACTCCCTCATAAGAGGTAACAGGTATTTTGAAATACCTGTTGTGTTTTATAATTTTCAGTTGCCCAAAGCAGGGAAAATGAATTATAAAACTCTAAAGCAGAAATATCAGGAGTACCAATGTCTGCAAAAGTGAAGCATGTAACTGATAAGAACATAAAGGCCAAGAAAAATGATGAATTATGTCTGGATCTGAAAGCAGCCTTACCACTTAAAAAAAAAAAGCATGTTGACAGAGAACTACTTTCTGTCTGGAATCCTGGCCAAAATGCTTGAATAAAAATACTGGAATAAAGCTGAAAGAAGAAATGGAGTTAGCATGGCAAACAAAGTTACACAGTCCAGATTGATGAATAAAATAACAATAAAATAACAAGATATCAAAGAATAATAGAAAAGAAACTTTTCTATCTGTGTAGATCTCAGAGATAAATTTCATCAATGCAATACACAGAACTTCCTATAATGTAACAAATACAGCTACGAAAAGAAACTGTGTACTTGAAGAACAATAAGAGAATTGCAGTGGATTTGCAATCTTGCAAGAAATTTGCAAAGAAAAGCATAGTGCAGAGACTAGACAAAGATGATAATCACAGTGCTGCTGCTACACAGGCATTATTCATAAGACCAATGGGCAGTGCTACAGAATAAAATTAATGAGGATGCAGTTTGACAAATGAAAACCTATTTATTTTTCATCTGGACACAAATGAAAAAATCAAGACATTGTCTGCCACACTGTAGTAAAAGTAACAGTGAACTACGGGATAACAAGTAAATCAGAACAGATATAACTTCTTGGTGGTACTGGTTTGGTTTTAAAAAAAACTTTCAAGTCCTAGGTCCCATCAGTGAAGGAACAGAGAACAAAAGAGAGGAAAAATTTGATAATGGATGAAGCATTGGAATGGTATTCAGCAGAGTAAAGAGTGAAGCTAAAAGACCTTAGCTGTTCCTTGACTTTTGTTTTTAAACCAGTTATTTTCACTCTAGGAAGAAATTAAAGATGGAGGTGGTGAGCACATGAGGAGAGCTCACAGAGCAGAGCAAAGAGCGTGCATGTACAATACCTGCAATAGCGGCAGAGACCCCACAATGATATACAGGCATGTAGAAAGAACACTGCTTACAAGAGAGGAAACTATTGAAGATACAGGTGACAACAATTATTTTTCTATATTTGCTGCATCATTAAAATTTTCATAGTTCCTTTGGTGAAATGAAGCAGAGAATTGTGTACATTCACTACTGCCTTAGGC